ACCTTAAAAGGGGGGGAGGGAAGAAAAAAAAGAAATTTATGTGATAATTTAATTAAATATTTAAAAGGAATAGTGAGTTGTACATAATAGATTTGTAGTTTCATGAGCAATCTTTATTTTTTATTATACCATATTATGGAAATGCTTATTTTATTCCGTAAGTTAAAAATAAAATAAAAAATTTGAAATAGGTTGTTGTATATACATTTTTTTGGTACAGTTGTTAAATATTTACCAGCATACCCTTGGCTGATCTAATTGGCATGGAAAATTGGCATGGCTCTGTTTTTTCCAACTTAGGCTGGTTTGCCTTTCCATAGGCAGACTGGGGGCCCTCTGCTCCCCCAGGGGCTCATCATTGTAGTATTGGACTTGATGTGGATATCAGATCAGCTTTTGCCCTCCTTCATCTTAGACCTCCAGAGCATAAGCAATTAAACAGCCTCAGTCTCCCACTAGTGAAGATTACAAGTGTGAACTACCACGTCCAGCCATTTTATTGGATTCTCTTATAGACCTGACTATAGAGACAGCATAGTATCATGGTAAAAATGTTTAGTCAGGAGAGACCTGCTTTTAAGTCCTGCCATTCTACACACTAATCAAATGTGTGACCATTAACTAGTCACTTAACATTTCTGAGCCTCAGTTTCCTCACCTGTAAAATGTGGATAAGTATTATTTATAGTACTTATCTCACAAAGAGCAAATGACATCATGTGTGTAAAGGAGGTCTGAGAAATGGGAGGGGCACCTTCAGAGACTACATCATGCCTTGCCTGCTACCAACCCTCAGGAGAGGGGCTGTGGATCTTGCTTCTGCCAAGATGTAATGACATGGAATAGCAGGGTCCTGTTTCCCAATTCAGAGCAGGTGCAGGTACTCTGTTTCCAGGTTCCTTACCATGTGAAGAAGAACATTTTGTTTGGTGACTGAGCTAGAACTGAGAATGCATTCAAAAGCATTGACCAGTCACACTATTCACTTTTCTTTCCCCAGCCATGTTTCAGTGACGAGGCAAGGACTTCTGTAAGCCCTTAGTAGGGAAAGAGGTATCAGGTCTTTACCTCCCCACCACCTAGTGGTCCAGGAATACATGAGCCTGCTGTTGCTTCTGCCCCTTATTCCTATTTTTCTTCTACTCCTAGGTAGATGGATATTGGAGATGTAGAGAGCTTGACTCTACCGGATCCAACTTACCTGAGTGGAGATGAGGATACCCCAGATCTTATAAAGCGTGTGTGTGTGTGTGTGTGTGTGTGTGTATACATAGATATAGCATATTGCAAGATATAAAGTGCTACATTGTCAGCGATAGAGGGCTGGGCCTGGAGTCAGGAAGTCCTGAGTTCAAATCCAGCCTCAGACACCTACTAGCTATGTGATCCTGGGCAAGTCGCTTTAATTTATGTCTGCCTCAGTTTCCTCATCTATAAAATGGGGATAAAAATAGTGCCTATCTCCCAGGGTTCCTGTGAGGACCAAATGAGATAATATTGACAAAGCATTTAGCATAGTGAATGGTACGTGTTTTGTTGTTGTTTAGTGATGTCTGACTCTCTATAACCCCTTTGGGGTTTTCTTGGCAAAGATACTAGACGAAATGTCTGCCATTTCCTTTTCTAGTGTGTCCCCATTTAGCAGGTGAGGAACTCAGGCAAATAGGGGTTAAGTAACTTTCCCAGGGTCACACAGCTGGGAAGTATCTGAGGCCGGATTTGAACTCAGGTCTTCCCAACTCCAGGCCTGGAGCTCTATTCACTGCACTATCATGTGCTATAAAAATGTTAGCTAGTACTATTATTATCATTGAGTTTGGAACTATTGCCCTTCATTTACCTACTCAATTGCCTCCACTGTACAACACAAAGTGGGATGGGGTCACCTGATTGTTGCTGGCTTGATGAGGATCAAATTAGAAAGTAAAATTCTTGTAACCATGGAGTACTTCATATGCATAAGCTTATTATTATAGATCTCCCCATTGTGACATACCCTATATACTAGCTTCATGAGGTAGTGGAAAGAGTGCTGGGGTTAGTAAAGATCTGGCTTTGAATCTTGGCTCTATCGGAGTCCTTGGGAAAGTAATTTCATTTCTTGGGGTTTTAGTTTATTCATCTTCTGTAATAGGGGAAATAAGCCTTGTAATGCCAACTTCACAAGGTGTACCAAGGGCAGTGGAGGATCAGGGAGCACCATACAAGTCTAGGTTCTCCTTCTTATTCCCTACATATCTTGCATTTTCTTCCTTTTGTCCATATTTTCTCTTGTTTAGTAGAATGAAATTCCCTGAAAGGTGGGGATCTGTTTCATTTTTGCCTTGGTTTCCTCAGTGCCTAGCACAATCGCTGGCACATAGTAGGTGCTTAATAAATATCTGTTATTGTTATTGAATCCCAATGAGAAATGACATCAAATGATAATGTCAAACAGGGAAACATATGTTACCTAAAGTAGCCATGGAAGTTTGAAGAGAGATGAGGTTAGGAAGAGCCTTGGTGATGAGTTAATTCAGGAGGTGTAAAAGGATTTTCTTGCAGCAGTGAAGGCCCAGTTGAGGCTATGTAACATAAATTTACAGTAGGCTCAGTCATCACAGTTCAATCAACAAATATTTTTAAAGTACATACTGTGTGGTGCAGTGGATAGAGTGCTGGGTTTGAAGCCAAGAAGGCTCATCTTCCTGAATTCAAATCTGGCCTCAGACACTTGCTAGCTGTGTGATTCTGGGCAAGTCATTTAACCCTCTTTGCCTCAGTTCCTTCATCTGTAAAATCAGCTGCAGAAGGAAATGGCAAACTCTCCAGCATATTTACCAAGAAAACCCCAAATAGGGTCATGAAGAGTCAGACAAGACTGAAAACAACTCAACAGCAAGCACCTTGTGGAGCAGGAGGGAGAAGTCCAAAGAAGCAGCCATCCAAAGGGAAACAGCTAACAAGGTAACCTGCTGTTCTGGACCTGGCTGAGACAGACGAAGCAGTGACTGCTGACATAGAAACAACAGCAGCTTTGGGGTAAAGTGATCTACTCCACTATGGAGTCTGGGGTAGAGAAGAGGAAAATGGGCCCAGTGGTTTCCTATAGGAGACCTTCCGTTTGTCTCTCTGCCTTTGCATACATTCCCCAAAATCTAAAATGTGCTTTCTTCATCTCAGCTTAGTAGAGTCCTTGGCTTCCTTTAAAACATGGTTCAGGTGCTGTTTTCTACAAGAAATCTTAAGCCCCCAGTTATAGCAATCTCTCCCTCTTGTGATTATTTTCTGTATGTTTTTGTATTTTTTATTTGTTGTATACTCCTAAGTAGACATAAGCTCCCTGAACGCACAGACTGGTTTAATTTCCCCTCACCCCAGTACCTCCACAAATTGGTGTAGTGCCTTGAACACAGGAGCAATACATACTTGCTGAATCGAATTAAATTAACTTGCTCCTATTGCCTCCCCTCCCCCAGCTCATGACTAAAACACTAAGAAAGAGTTAGTACAGTTTGGCTTCAGGAAGAGTTTGGAGATGGGATCCCCCCTCTTATTTTCATTATTATGCATGTAGAGAGTACAGTTCTCCTTTCCATATCATAGGGATTAGGGGTGCGGCACCCCCCAATCTGGAAAATCTATGTAAAACTTTTTGGCTCTCCCCTCGTACTAGAGAAGAAGTCTGAATTATTATGGTATTAAAAGATAAAACATGTTGATGTTATACAATCCTAGACATATATTTTATGCATTCCTGAGTTTCTAAACTTTTTCTGTCATCTGCTGAACTTGAATGTTGTATGTGGCTTCTTCAAAACTCTTCCAAAATTGTCATTTAATTTCTCATGCTGACCTGCAATATATTCCAACCGCCATGGATTGTGATGTGGAAGGGATAACTGTACTGTGATTTTTTTTTAAGGGAGAGAAACTGTAAACCTGAGCATAAGTTTGATCTATTTTTTATGTCATATTGAACGGCATGAGTTGAAAAGAGATTCTTGGGTTGCCATCTGCACTGCTGGAGGGAGGACTCACATGGATGAGATCACAAATCCATTGAAGTTTATGGCATAAACTGCTTGACAATCAGAATTTGTTCCCAGTAGCAAACCTGGCAGCAGTTTGCCTGTCATTTTGCACTTTCCTTACAGTTTGGTGAGATGGGGGGGGGGCGCACTCTGGGGATGATGGTTAGAGGGAGCCTGGACCTGTGATCTCAACCACATGTCAAACTCCTGCAGTGGAAACAGGAGCACAGATGTATAGCTTAGAAGGGACCTCAGGCCATCTAGTCCAACAGAGGGAAACTGAGGCTCAGTGAGGTAATTTGGCCAAAGTCTTATTTACATGTAGTTAAGCCAGAGGCAGGAACTAAATCCACATATGAGCCTATGATTTTTCTGCTCTATTGGATGAAGACTGGCAGCTGATTTGTAATTTGTAGTCTGAGAGAATGGAGGGAGGCACTGAGAAGTTCCATGATTTGTCCAAGATTACACAGCCAGCATATTGAATATGGGACTTGAATCCAGATCTTTGTGACCTGAAGTTAAGTTCCCTGGCCACTACACCATTCAGCTTCTCATTTTTCCAACAACAATATAGACCATTACATTGTAGGATCTAATTACGAGTGTACCTTTGAGTTGGTAGAAAGGTCTCTATATCTCTAGCTTGATCTAGGACTGGAGAAAAGCACTGCCTCGATCTCTCCGAGGCGCCCCCTGCCCTCCCCTCCCCCCGATGAGGCTCAGGTACCACTGGGGTGAGGGGCCCTTGGGACAATGGGCAGGCAGGCGGTGTCCTGCAGCTCCGGGGGCAGTCCAACACTCCAAGTCTTAGTGAGGACCCCAACTTGATTTGCATCCCTGGGCTTTCACCTCCCGCCCCCTGCCTCATCCCGCTTGCCCGCCACCCTCTGTCTGTGCAGCCCCAAGTTTCGAGCTGACTGACCATCGGGGCCTCCAGCTAAAGTTACGCAAAGGTTCCCATTGACTGTAAGGAAGGAAGGCGGGTCTGACCTGTGTCCTGTGCCGGCCGAGGGGAGTTTCCAAACTTTGCAGCCAGCGAGCTAGGGTTCCCTTTCCAGATCCCTCGTTTCCTCCCTCAGCCATCCCGGAGCTCCAGTCTGCTGCCTTCCTGCCTGTCTGCCTGCCCTGTAGGCTCGCCTTGCCTTCCAAGGGAGGGAAGAAAGGAGAAAGGAAGGGAAGGAAGGAGCTCGCGCAGCCCAGGGATGGGGGTAATCCCTGCTGCAGCTCCAGGTCCCAGGAGGGCGAGCTTCCCCACTCCTCCACACATGGGGCTCTGAGCACCCTCCATAGCAAGGGCCCAGCCCGGCAACGCAGGATGGCCAAGGAGAAACCGCTGTGGAGATGTTGTGCCTTCCGCCTGTGCCTGCTCTCTGCCGCGCTCCTCTTCTGCCTGCAGCTCACCCTGGAGCTCAGGCGCTCCTGGTCCTCAAGGGACAGCGAAGTGCAGGCCGGACTGCTCTCGAGTAGCTCCCCGTCGGGCTGGCTAGATGCCCCTGCGCTGCAGCAGCCGCTGCCAGGGGTGCACCCGCCTCCCGGGGTGCACCTGCCACCGGGCCACTCCCGGCCCCCAGCTGCCAGCAGGAGGCAGGTGACCTACTTAAGGAGTAGCCGTCGAGGGGAGGCGGAGCTGGGCTGCTGCCCCCCAGGAGGGAGCAGTCACAAAAAGGTCAGTGACTGGCGAAGGGAGAGCAACTGAACCTTTTGGCGGGGGTAGGGGTCACTAAATTACCATGTCTAAGAAAGAAACAGTGACAATGTCAACCTATCCAGTATCCTCCCTGTCTCTATAGCAGCTCCAGATGTGGCTTGATACTGAAAGAGAGAGAGAGACAGAGAGCGAGAGAGAGAGAGAGAGAGAGAGAGAGAGAGAGAGAGAGAGAGAGAGAGAGAGAGAGAGAGACAGAGAGAGAGAGAGACAGAGAGAGAGAGAGACAGAGAGACAGAGACAGAGAGGTAGAGACAGACAGAAAGAGAGAGACACAGAGAGAGAGGAGAGAGAAAGGCCTAGCACCTTGTTTTTCCTCCTTAGCCTAAGTTTGCTTTACAGTAGCAGTTCACAAAGTGTGGTCCTGAGACTTTTTCAAGGAGTCCAGGAAATCAAAATTATTTTCATATTACTGAGAAGTTATTTGCCCAGTAGAATAAAGTAACTGCCTGCCCTGAGTTTATCCTAACTTCCTGGCCTTGCCAATTCTACTTATCTGTGCAAAAATCTGTGGCTGGATTTTCTTCATATACTTCAACTAAAATAACTTATCATAATAGATTGAATGCAGAAGCAAAGTAGAGAATTCATCTGTCATCTATTAAGCCAGGCATTAAAGAGATTTGCAAAAATATGTAAAACAATGCCACACTCTCACTAAATTTTTGTTTTTGAAAATATAGCTATTTTTCATAAAAATGTTATTTATGATAACATGTAATGGATTTATTATTATTTTAAAACAAATTACTATAGTAAAAATTTATCAGTTTTAATTTTAAATATGCTAAATATGGAGAGCTATAACTCATATAAACAAAAGCTCTTTGGGGTCCTCAATAATTTTTAAGACTTTAAAGGCATCCTCCAATTTTTTAAAAGTGTAAAGGGCTCCTGAAACCAAAAAGTTTGAGAACTGTTACTCTACAGGTTGCCAAATTTCAGCTGCAAACCTTGCCTGTTAAGGACATGAACAAAGTTGAAGAGAATTTTGTTACATGTAGTGAAATAGCTGATTTTTCTCTTTCAGTCTTGGTCTCTCTCTCTCTTGCCTCTCTCTGTCTCCTCTCGGAGTCCCAGACAAAGCTCCTGACTGTTTGAAAGTAGTGGTTGGGGGTGTGTGGTGATTGTGGTTTATTTGTCATGTGATCAGTGTTTCAGAAGACCCCTCTGGAATGCACTTTTTTTTTTGAGACTGTGCTAGGTGTTCCAATATTTTATCTCCATCTCAACCTTTTCCTGCCTCCATAACAAGTATCTTTATGACAAGCATTTTGGAGTAAGTATAAAGTATTTCAGGAGTATGTGAATATGAAGAAAATATCTTTAGAGATCATCTTTTTTTCCAAGGAGTAGGAATACATGTAGACATAATTAAGCGGGGATGGGGTTTTTCTAGGCTTAAATTCTCATAGTGCATCTTTCTTTTCTAGCAAGCGGTCTTTATTTTTAGAGTTTATTCAATGTGTCCTGCTGAATCTCAAGGGAAAACACTATCCTTCATGAACTTCAATGGACACATGATCTCATGGTACTACTTACATTGGTGCAGTTAGCAATGCATCCACACCTTCTCATCCCATATGATTCTTGTTCCCATAAATTAATTGTCCAAAGAAATTCCTAATGCATTGGAGGCTTCTGTGTGTGCTCGTGTACTATGATTTAAGTACCAATGCAGTATGGTATAATCAATGGAAAGAACTCTTCGTTTGGAATTATAAGATCTGGCTTCAAATTCAAGCTCTGTCACTCCCTACCTATGGGACCTTGGCCAAATTACTTAACCTTTAAAAGAAAAAAGTAGGACTATATGAGTTCTAAAGTGACTTTTAGCTCTGAATCTGTGATCCCATTATCTTCTTTCTTTCTAATCTTACATTTCCAGGATGATACCTTTTTATACTGATTCTTGCTTATGTAATATGGATGTGAATTTCTCAGATTTTGATGTGAGCTCTCACAGAAGTTTCAGGCCCACAATGATGAGCTAATTACTGTTTATTGGAGAAAGGTCCAGGTCATCAGGTTCCTGGAGGAGTTTTTCACCTGGATCTGGTGACTGTCAGGTGGTGTAAACTTGAAAAAGAAAGAGAAAAGAGAGGAAGAGCTAAAGGGATCAAAGAAAAGGAAATGAGATAGGAGGAACAGCATAGAGAGGTGAATGGACTCACCATCTGGGAAGTATTAGGATGTTCTTGAGTTTGGAAAGGCACACTGAGGGCTACAGTTGGGGTAAAAGGTTGGAAGGGGTAGTATACATGTTATACTGTGGCCATGGCTTCCTTCAGTCCTGGAAGAGTCCTGCTGCCTAGAGAACCAAGCTAAGAATCTTAAGCAAATTTAAGAATTCTTCATGTTGTCTATTGAGAATATGTTAAGGAAAGAAGGGGATTGACAGGGTAGCAGATTACATCTAATGGTATATAGGGAGCAGGGAATGGTTCTATTACTTCTTTATATTGTTTTAGTGTCTTAAATGGTTTTGCTATTGGATTGGTTATTCTTCCATAGTCTTGTAATAGAAAACGCTTTATTGGATGAGGGCTTAGGCCATGAATTACACAATTACCCAAAACAGCTGCACTGAACTAGTATAAAATAGTTTGGAAACAGAGTTCACAGAGAAGACAGGGACCTACCTATTATAATTACAAGGCACCTTTGGAAATATGCTCTGACCTACTCCAGTCTATGATGACTGTCTCCATTGACTTTTGTCTCACTAGCAATTCTCTTTGGAGAGCATATTTATCAAACATGAGTTGTACTGTGATGGACTTCATTCCCATAGGTTCTCGTAATTCACCAAGAGTGCTACTGCCTGAGGTTTCATAAATGAAAGTTGATGCAGAGAGCAATCCTGTATTGTGAATATGGCTATTCACAATTCTGCATGGTCTACTCCAAGGAATTGCAAGAAAATATGAATGATATTTCTTGAGGGAAAGAATAGTACTTTGTTAACTTCTATAATATCTAGTACCTACCTAGCAGCATAGCATCTAGAATTGAACAGGTATTTGGGGACATTACAATAGTAGCCAGTCAGAAGTATTTTGTTTTGACCTGACTCTTAAAAAAAATGTTGTTTACCTGTAGCCTAAGCAGTTATAATTAAATTTGAATGACCCATTACAGAACTATCCTTAGCCCAACATATGTGCTATTCGGCTTTCAAGGCTCAGCTGACATACTACATTCTACAACAGGCCTTTCCTGGTCCCCCTTACTGCCAGTACCTTGCCTCTGAGAGTACCTCCAGTTTATTAAATATGTCTTGTATGTACATAGCTGCTTTATATTATTAGTCTTCATCACATTAAGAGCTCCTTGAGGGCAGAAATGGCTTTTTTTTGTGCCATTTTGTTTTGGTATCCCCAGCACTTAGCATAGCTCCTGGCACAAAATAAATCCTTAATAAATGCTTGTTAACTTGACTTCTGATCGTGCACCTGTACCATAATGATTCTGGTTTACTCTTTTCTGACTATACCCTCAATTTGTTTCCTTTGCAATTGAAACAGGCATTTTAAAGATGGCTGACATGAAGCATACATATTCTTATTAATTGGAAATTTATTTCGATCTCTGAGGAGTAATCTAGTTACCTTGACTTTAATTGATTCCATTTAGCTCAGCCTGATAAAGTCGAAGGGGTGCCAGCTTTGGGTTCAGAGGACTTGAGTTCAATTCCAAGCTCTTCTATTTACTCCTTATGACACCTTGGGCAATTCATTTAATGTCTTCGGGTCTCAGTTTCCTAATTTATAAAATGAGAGGGTTAAATGTGATGGCCTTAAGGTCCTTTCCCAGCTCTAAGACTGTGATACTATGAAATACTTAGAGAGTATGCAAGACAACTATGGTCCATTCAAAGGATATGCCTGTTTTCATGGGCATAATGTCAAGCAGGCAGACCAAGGTACATACATGAGTAACCATCAAAGTGCATTGAGAGAAATACAAAGTATGATATGAAACTGGCATACAATAGGTACTTAATAAATGTTTATTGACTGATTGACTTCAGATGAGGGGCCAGTTTTGTGTTTCAAGAAAAGCTTTTAGGCATATTTCAGATGTCATCTTCCTCTACAAAGTTACATCTCATTTTCTCCCCTCCACCCCCAGTTAAAAATGATCTTTTCCTCTTCACACTCTAAGATCACATTATCTGGCTCTTCCTTTTGTCCTTGTCACAATCTAACTTTTACACTTATACTTAGCTGTGTACTTGTTGTAGTTCCCTGTGAGACTTTAATGCAGGGGCTGCAACCATTTCTGTGTCCCCTTTGCTAGCATAGGGCTATGCACCTAATTAAATGCTTAAGAATGTTTACTTTTGAGTTGAATGGAATTGAATGGAGAATTTGGGCTGGGTCTTGATGGGTAGGAATTTACTCCCATGGGTGGAACTGGTTCTGGGGGATATGAAATGCTTTCCAGATAGAGAGAACAGCTTAAACAAGAGCCTCAGGCCTTAAAGTCTCGCTATAATGTTGCCATTCTTTCTTCATTAACTTCTTGGCTTACTATGAACACCAACTCTTTCCACCTTCCCTTATTCACAGATGTTGTTGTTTAGTTGTTTCGGTCACGTGCAACTGTGTGACTCCATTTGGGATTTTCTCAGCAAAGATTACTTAGAGTGGTTTGCTATTTCCTTCTCCAGCTCATTTTACAGTTGAGGAAACTGAGGCAAAAGGGTTAAGTGACTTGCCCAGGGTCACACAGCTAGTAAATGTCTAAAGCCTGATTTGAACTCAGAAAGATATCTTCCTGACTCCAGGCCAGGCACTCTATCCACTGCTTCACTTAGCTGCCCTACTCGTATATGACTAGCTTATAGTCTATTTCAATAAGGAAGGCAGCACTGTATCATGGAAAGAACACTGGAACTGGAGTCAGAGAACCTAGGTTCAAATCCCACCTCTAATTTTTACTACCTGTGTGATCTT